GTGCAGTATATAGCCTTGAATGCCAGCTACAGATAAGAATACCAGCTACAAGCCGGAACACATTACTTCACAGGAAATAACGGAGGGGGGAAGTGAGCTGGTGACCTTGCTTTTGTAAGCAGAGGCTGCCAAAAATATTAAAGTTTAAAGGGGAACGCTGCAATATTTGGGTGCTGCCACAGTACCACACATTTCCTCTATCATGACAACACTGACTCAGTGTATTATATCTATGGAGGAGCAGTGTTGTCACCCTAGGACTGAAGAACACTTCCTCCTTTCCTTTTCTCCTTGGTATAGAGGGAGGTGGTCCAAAGGTACACATATAAAGCTGGGAACAATGCTAACTGATAAGGAGGAGCCAAGCCAGTGACGTCACGCCGCACGGGCCACGAGGAAGGCCGGCGGCCTTCTTTGAATCTGTTTTATACATTCATCTTGCCAGATGCGAGTGCTTAGTGTTCTTTCATGTGATTTTTTTTTGCCATATTAATAAAAACATACTGCACTATCAAACACTTCTTTTCTGGCTCATTTGTCCATGAGCTTTTAAGGTGGATTCCTTTAGTGCATATTTTTGGTCCATATACACCACCTGGAGTGGAGTTATCCTGGAGATCTGGAGAGTAGCAGTCAGATGATCAACTGATGTGCGGCCGTATACCAGATGATCCCCGAGGTTACCCCTAGGATGCTGATGACCAGGAGTGGTCTATGTACTCAAATGCGCTTTTAATTGCGCTATCTGGTTAGTGCAATATATACTCATTCTCACATCCACTGGAAACACAGGAGTTCACCTGTTTAATATATTGAACATTTATTTCATTATTTGATGTCACTATCACACTGTATGCGTCACACCTAGACGCTACTAGCACCGTTACCGTTGCGCTCCACAGTGCGGTTTTTTAGCTTTAATATAATTTGTTGCTGTAATAGTTATCATCCTTTATGTGATTTTGCACCTCTTTGATTTTTTGAATGTTTTTACGGCGGATGCCACTATTGCACCTTATGCGTCATATTTAGACGCTTTTAGCATCTTCATCCTAGCGCTCATTAAGCGCATTTCCATTTATACGATTTTATTGGCTGTTTTACTAGTTTTATATGTTATTTTAGAGCGCTGCATTTCTGTGTATATATATATATATATCTCCCAGGTGTGGACTGGGCTAGAAGTTTTAATACAGAGTCCAGCACTGTTCATACAGTAATAGGACCCAGTCATAGGAGGGCGTTGTGGTGAATGGTGGATGGCATCACTACACCATAAGTTCAATCCAAGATTTCACCAGTACACCATATTTAGATAAATAGCAGAACACATTAATGTCACCAACAGAAAGAATTTCTGGGCCTCTAACAGACTCTTCCCCATGCACCGGTTATGCTCACTGCTGCCTGGAGAAAAAGTCCCCAATGTCCTCAAAATGCCGCTTTGTTTTGCTGGTGATATTAAAGTGTCCCATTTACTTAAACATGGTTTGTTGGCGATATCTTGGATAGGAGTAACATAATGCCCCCAATGGGATAAGTTCAGCATGTGGTCAACAAGAACTATTAGATAACATAGAAAATCTGGAAAAACTTGGTGTGTAAGCAAGTTGAAATTATCTAGATAGGTGCTGCCCTGAATGGGAGGGTAGGGGTTAATGCCTTTTCTGGTTCTTCGGCTTTTGGCAGGATCCTTGGGTCCAACCCAATGCACCTGTACATATAAAAGTGGACAGTGAGCTGAGTCCAAGAGCTACAGCCGCCGTCACTGTTGTTCCCATTGTTGAGTCCTTTTCCATGGTTCTGCCAATCTCCCAAGTTCCCCAAAGAAAGCTGTACCTGGGGAGGTGCAAGGATGCCACCATGAAGACATCTGAATTTGGGGGTTCCCCCCAAATACACCAGATGCTGGAGTATGCCTGTGATTGACTTTGCTGAACGACATGGACTCTACCTCTGTAGATATGCCGGGACAACACATAGCCTGGTTAGGAGTAGGGATTAGAGAATTAGCAAGAGCCTGTGTCTATGGGACTCTTCTAATTATGTTTTGGATCTTTTGTACTGTTTTGCATTTTCTTCAGTAAAGCTTTGAAAGTTTGCTTTCTTGCCTGGTCTGAAGTCCTTAATAGGAGTGCATTGCAAGTAACCAACACTATTGCACACTTACTGACTAACCAAAGTCAAAGTGCATGTTTAATATGCTTTAAATACACCAAGAGAATATTTCTGAGAGTCCGAGAGATATAGCCGCCATCTTTATTTTTACCATTGTTGAGTCCTGCTCCTTTTCCACAGTTCTGCCCATGTCCCCGGGTTCCCCGAAGAAAGCTGTTCCCGGAGAGGTACAAGGATGCCACTGTGAAGATTTCTTAACTTGGGGGTTCCCCTTGAAGACACCAGATGCTGGAGTATGCCTGTGATTGACTTTGCTAAACAACATGGACTCTACCTCTGCTGGTCTGCCAGGGCAGCACATAGCCTGGTCAGGATTACAGTTTATAGAATTAGGGAGAGACTGTGTCTATGGGACTGTTCTAATTATATTTTGGATCTTTTGTACCATTTTGCATTTTCTTAAGTAAAGTGTTGAAACTTTGCCTTCTTGACTGGTCTGAAGTCCTTAAAAGTGCACTGCAAGTAACCGGCACTATGGCATACTTACTGACTAACCAAAGTCAAAGTGCACGATTGATAAGCTTTCAATACACCTAGAAAATATTTTGGAGAGTCTGAGAGATGCAGCCACTGTCGTTGTTTTTGCCATTGTTGAGTCCTGCTCCTTTTTCATGGTTCTGCCCGTGTCTCCAGTTCCTCAAAGAAAGTTGTAAACAGTGAGATCCAAGGATGCCACTGTGAAGATTTCTGAACTTGGGGGTTCCCCCTGAAGATACCAGATACTGGAGTATGTTTGTGATTGACTTTGCTGAACGACATGGACTCTACGGGCTCCTGTACACCGCAGCTGAAAAACTGACGTTCAGGAGCTTTTCTGCGTTTTTTTTCAGCAGCCCCTGAACTCTCCCTAAAGTTTTCCTATGTGTCCATGTACACCATGTCATTTACAGTCGTTTACAAACAGTTGAGTTTACAGTCGTGTTTTGAACGCAGCAAACTTGCGTTCAGGAGTAGATTTTATCAGCGTTTCAAATGCCAAATGCTTGTAAACACGTGTAAATGCGACTAACTGTGTTTATAAGTGTTTGCGTTTAGAAGCGTTTTTTGACTGGTCCATATCCAGGGCACAATTCCCTAAGCGGTATCCTACCGCATCCAAGTATGTGGTAGGATACCACATAGCATTTTTTTTTTTAAATCCATTTGAATCCACTAAAAAGGCTACTAAAATAACGCATGATTTTATCAAGTCATGCAAAATTTTAGTAGTGAAAAGCATGCATCATGTTTCAGCTGTCAGCGGGGTTCCCACTGACAGCTGAATGTAAAAGAAAGAATTGTAGGCAATTAAAAAATTAAAAAAAAAAAACGGCATGGGGTCCCCCCTCCCATCCATACCAAGCCATTCGGGTCTGGTATGGATCTTGAGGGAAGCCCCACTCCAGAATTGAAAAAAAATGGCGTGGGGGTCCCCCCCAAAATCCATACCAGACCCTTATCCGAGCATGCAGCCCGGCAGGTCAGGAAACCCCCAAACCATACCAGGCCACATTCCCTCAACATGGGGGGGTGCTTTGGGGTAGGGGAAGTTACCCCCCCAAAGCACCTTGTCCCCATATAGATGGACACAAGGGCCTCTTCCCCACAACCCTGGCCGGTGATTGTGGGGGTCTGTGGGCGAGGGGCTTATCGGATCCTGGCCAGATCCCGGCCCCCCTCCTCCACATGAATGAATATGGGGTACATTGTACCGCTACCCATTCACAAAAAAAAAAGCTGTAGTGTGGAAAAAAGGCAGGAGTCATTCTTTGACAAGTCCTTTAATAAAAGAATGTTCCCCGAAGTAGATCCAATGTCAATCACGATGTCACGATGTCCGCTGCCACCACCGCCACTCCAAAGAAGAAAAAAAAAATTCCTCCACCATCATGGCCCGCGGCCGTCTGCTCAGAAGCTGGTTTGACAGTTCTTAAATATGTAAGGGGCAGGGCCATCACGTATGTGACCCTGCCCCCGTGTGACGTCAGTGACCAGCATGCATGCACGGTCGATGATGTCACACGGGGGTTGGGATCTGGGGCTCCCCTTGGTAAAGGGGGCTTCCAGATTCTGATAAGCACCCCATCTGCAGACCCCCACAACCACCGGCCAGGGTTGTGGGGCAGAGCTCCCCCTACCCCAAAGCACCCCCCCATCCCTATGTTGAGGGCATGTGGCCTGGTATGGTTTGGGGGGATCTCACGCTCACCCCCCCTTCCCCTTTTCTGACCTGCCGGGCTGCATGCTCGGATGATAAGGGTCTGGTATGGATTTTGGGGGAGAACCCCACGCCATTTTTTTTTTTAATTTTGGCGTGGGACTTCCCCTCAAGATCCATACCAGACCCAAAGGGCTGGGAGCGGGGATCCCACGTCAAATTTTCTATTATTTTTTTAATTGCCGGCAATTCTTTCTTTTACATTCAGCTGTCAGTGGGGAACCCCGCTGACAGCTGAAACATGATGCATGCATTTAACTACTAAAATACCGCATGACTTGATAAAATAACTCCTGCGGTATTTTAGTAGCTTTTTTTAGTGAATTTACTATTTTTCAGTGCATTCTGGGCATTTTGGAAGGTCTCCTGAGGTTATCTTTTAATCACTACCTACTGGGCACTTATACCCCCTTCCTGCCCAGGCCAATTTCCAGCTTTCAGCGCTGTCACACTTTGAATGACAATTGCGCGGTCATGCAACATTGTACCCATATGAAATTGTATCATTTTTTTGAGACAGAGCTTTCTTTTGGTGGTATTTAATCACCTCTGGGATTTTTATTTTTTCTTAAACAAACCAAAACCACTGAAAATTTTGAAAAAAAAAATTTTTTCTCAGTTTTTGTTATACAATTTTGTAAATAAGTGATTTTTCTCCTTCAGTGATGTGCGCTAATGAGGCTGCAGTGATGGGCACTGATAGGCTGCACTGATGGACACTGATAGGTGGCAGTGATGGCACTGGTGGGGAGGCACTGGTAGGTGGCACTGATGGGCATTTACAGGCATCACTGATGGGCACTGAAAGGCAGCACTGATACATGACACTGATATATGGCACTGATAGGCGGCACTGTTAGGCGGCACTGACTGGCACTGTTAGGCAGCACTGACTGGCACTGTTAGGCAGCACTGACTGGCACTGATAGGTGGCACTCACTGGCACTGATAGGCAACACTGACTGGCATTGATGGGTGACATTGAAAGGCAGCTCAGATGGGCACTGATATGTGGCATTGATGTGCACTGGTATGCACTGATATGTGGCACTGATGAGCACTGACTACTGGCACTAATGGACACTGACAGGTGGCACTTCTGGGGCCACACTGATCATCAGGGCACACTGATGATCAGTGCCCTGATGATCAGTGTACATGTCCCCTCCGCAGAAAGCCGATTACCGGCTCTCCTCTCAAGCTGTCAGCGTGACAGCTCGAGAGGAAAAAAATGCCGATAACCGCATTTCCGTGTTTACATGTGATCAGCTGTGATTGGACACAGCTGATCACATGACCGAGCCGACATCTTCGGCTCTTTCCGTGATCCACTGTGTCCGAGGGACACAGCGCACCGGCGATCGCCGCTCTGCGCGCTCCCTGAGCCGCGCATGCGCGGTGAGAATGGAAGGACGTCCTATGACGTCCTATCAGAACGAGAGATTCTAAACGCAAACGTGCATAAACGCGGCTAAACTTTTTAAAATGCAGCAAAACTGACGTTTTTTAACCTACGTTTTCCAGCAGTTTCGTTTTCATCGTTCAGAAGAGTTTTCCAAACGCCCCGTGTACATGAGCCCTACCTTTGTAGGTATGCCAGGACAGCACATAGCCTGGTCAGGAGTAGGGATTAGGTAATTATGGACACACTGTGTGTATGGGACTGTTCTAATTACATTTTGGAACTTATGTACTGTTTTCCACTTTCTTCAGTAAAGCGTTGAAACTTAGCCGTCTTGTCTGATCTGAAGTCCTTTAAAGGGTTGCACTGCAAGTAACTGACACTATTGTACACTTACAGGTGTCTTGGGGATCCCCCAAGTTCAGAAGTCTACAGTTTGGGTCACATGGGATGTGAAGAGGTAACATGCTAAGAGTCACTTTAATGCAAGGTTTACATGTGGTTTGCCACGAGCAATGAAAGGTACAATCAGCAAGCAGCCTGTATGTACCTGTTATAAGTGGAATTGACTCTAGCTGTGAGGGAGATGTTGTCGGCACTCCCTATGCCGTGGTCAGTCTCTCATAGCAACCAAAGCAGAAATGCTTTGCGGTTGTCCCCATCCTGTACAGAGATACGGAAGTTCAAGAGTTGAAGTTAGGTGCCCGTTTGGAGCCTGCAGTACAATGGGGTTCCATGTTGCTACTGGGACAGATAGTAGAAAACGCTGGGCAGGTGGCTGTGGGAAGATGTACGTTTACATGGGGACCCAAGAGTTAACTGAAGAACAGTCATCATGTAAGTGTACATGATGTACATTCATCTCTAAAAGTATGACATTGAGTGATTCTGTAAAAGGTGCCTAGTGTAGCCCAGAAGAACACACCCTGGGGGTAGGCCTATCATGTTTCCCAGACTTGGCACCTAGTAAGTTATTTGGAAAACATGGAGGACATGACCACCTTCTCATCCACCTGCTCCACAGGTGGTCAACTTATCCATGAAAAAAGAACAGTTAAACAGAAAATGTAGCTTGTGTACTGATAAAGTGTGGAAAAGGATCCAGAAGCCAGCCTCAAAACCAGAAACACAAAACAGCAGAGCATATAGCAGTTCCACTTTATTAAAAAAAAACTGCATCCTTACATATCAAAAAGAAACATCCAGCCTGGTAGTGGAACATCACACCAGCTTATGGAATATCACAGCAACATCAGTGAGGTGAAAGGGAAAGAGCCAGGATCCATACACTGCCTGATGGTATGAAACAGCTGGGACCAGAGGATGACAGCCGGCGGGAGCAGAAAGAACTAGCTGGCGCAGCTGCACAGGGGATACACAGGAAGGCAGCACTTTGGCAAACACAGCCAGCATAATCTCCTGTGATCAGGGAGTATATTGGAGGTGACAGACAACATGTTTCTGGGCTAGTATGCCCTTTTCTCAAGCCTTCTGTCCCATGAGTTTGGCTGTTAATCCCCAAGATACTTATGTCATGAGACCTCCATAGAAGCATCTTAGGGTGGAATAAGGATGATGTACATTGTTTTTGAGCACTTAGAGACCCTGTTGTAAAAAAAAAACTGCTTCAGATATAAAGTGCAAGAACCTTCATCAGACTCAGTGCCAAATGCCAGTAACACTGCCTGTTTTACCTCCCACCTGGTAAATTCCTAATTGGCCCTTCACTATGATGGCAAGTAGGGATGTGAGGGAGGCAGAAAGAGAGATGGGAAAGCTTCAGGCAAAAGTATGGAAGTGCCTAGATTTGTCTTGTCAGAAGGGTCAGACATTAGATCATTAAAGAAGGATATTAGAGGTCACTGTATAAATGAGCAGGTACCTCTAGGTGCTTGCACTTTATGTCTGTAGCTTTTTCTTTTATTTTTGGGATAGATTCTCTGTAATGAAATGAGCTGCTGACTAACTTGCCACAAGTCTTAAATACAGGGTACATTTTGTAAACTTACACTCTATTCTTTTTTCTCTCTTAGACAATGGCATTTAAAAGCACACAAGGAAAGTAATGATAAAACTGGTTAGTTAGACGTCTAGTTCCACAAAGTTTGAGGACATGTGTGACCAGGGGTGGACTGACCATTTGGAAACTTGGGCACTGCCCGAGGGCCCGGGGTCAGTAGGGGGCCCCATGAGATGCCCCTGGTACCTTTTTCATAGGCATTTTTGAGTTTGTAAAGGACACAGGGGCCCCATGATCCCCCATTGCCCGGGGGCCCACGAGTTGTCAGTCCACCCCTGTGTGTGACTATGGCTAGTTGTAGAGTGGAGTGCCCTTTTATTCACCATATCCGGATGCAGGCACAGGCCCCTTTAATTCCATTTCCCACAAGTCCCTGGAATCCTGGACACTCCTAGAGATAAAAAGTTTCTGTGCTCCCCCAAACCCTCATCAGCTCACTGAGATCACATCTTGTGGACAAGTGATTTGCAGCCAGGTGAGTGACCCAGGGTCCAGGGTGCGGTCAGTCAGGCCTTTTTACTAATGAGAAACTCTTGATTAGTTTTCAGGGAACTGCTGTTAAAAATGATCATGTCTACACTCTATTGCACATGATTAATAAGTTGTAGATATAATAAATAAAATATAAAAGTATAAATAATGTGATCTACCTATAGCATTTGACTCTCAACCAAAAATGATATGCCACTGCTTAAGGAATTTAGAACAACTTCTGGAGGAACCCAAGGGTTCTACAGAACCATAATGAAGAAAATCTGGTCTAGAATATTAGTTGTCCATTATTAGCAGTCCATTATAACGTTTGCCTAGTCCCACCATTCCCACCATTCAAAGCTCATGGGTTGTTCTTATTTAGTATGTAAAATAACCCTTCCCCCCATCCCTTCCCTCTGGCCCCAGATGTAGCATGGATCCAGTGCAATTCAAAGTTCTTGCCCTTCCAGTGCCTTCCCCTAATGTCAGTCCTAGTGGCTAGATACCAGTTGGCTTTTCAGTGGGTATTTCTGTGGCGAGGAACATTTTTTGGTGTGGAGTCTTCAAAACAAATGAGCCAGCTTGCTAGCAACAGCCCAAATCTTAAGTATCAAGGTGGGTGGAATTGGCCTTTAAGCATTTTATATTCTTCACTGAACATTCAACAAAGGCGTTCACCATAATAGCTTGTGTTGAACACGATCCTTATCCGCACGAACAAATATCATAAAGAGAAGCTGCATTATGTTTCAATAGATTACTGCATGTGTTTGTTCAGTCTTACTCAGACACCTGCTGCAAAGCCAAGAAATGCAAACAAGGCCTGATGGTCCTGTGTTCATTTTCTGAGAATGGCCATTTAATGATTTACAACAGATGACCTTTATGTGACTGGTTTTGTGATCCTTCTGATGTTTCACCAGTTCACTGGACAGTCTAGTTCCTTTGCCCATAATAAAAGAAAATCAATATTAAGTGGGCCTCGATATCAGATTCAGATTCAGACATAAATATATTACCACTGATATATTTTTTTTAATTATTAACATGCTCATTAGTATTGCCCCAGCATCAGTTAGGGTTGGACGTCTGCATCTCTCAATTTTGTCTTCTTTTTACATAGTGACATAGTAGATACGATTGGAAAAAGACAAAGGTCCATTATACAGTCAGTTTTTATAGAACATTTTGACTTTTTTCCAGACAGTCTTTCCTAACCCTAATTTACTGTGGGGGTTATGAGATTGCTCATTTTATTTATATCTAGATACAGTTTCAGTGCCCTTTATGAGCTATTACTATTTAAGTTTTTGGCCTCATTGGGCTCCATCAATATCATCCACATACAGGTGAAACTCGAAAAATTAGAATATCATGCAAAAGTTCATTTATTTCACTAATGCAACTTAAAGGCTCAGGAACCCTTTGCAGGTGTTATGGCTTAATTAGCTGATTAGAGTGGGACACTTTGAGCCGAGAATATTGCACCTTTTCACAATATTCTAATTTCTTCTGAGATTGTGGATTTGGGGTTTTCATGAGCTGTAAGCCTTAATCATCACAATTATGACAAATCACAGCTTGAACTATCTTGCTTTGCATGTAATGAGTCTATCTCTTATATTAGTTTCACCTTTTAAGTTGCATTACTGAAATAAATAAACTTTTGCACGATATTCTAATTTTTCAAGTTTCACCTGTATATATAATTTCCACAATTTCCCCACAATGTGCTGTGAAGATATGTAAGCATTTGTTCTAATTTTGTTAGGGAGAGGATGGTGCATGGTGGACGGTTACTGACTGAGGTAAGAGATCAAGGGCTATATATAAGGGGAAAGAATAAAAAATAAAAAAGGGCATAGCAAGGATAAAAATTCATACCTGACTTATCGATGCCCTGGGTCTCTTCAAACCCAAAATGCCTAAAAATGCTTTTGTAAAAATCTTTGGCTCCCTAGCCAACACATTATTCATATAGGCTGGAATACTGGAAATTCATGCATGGGCACGAAGTTCTTAAAAACTTTTTCTATCTGTTATGTATTGAGGAGGTCTGGTCCTTTATTCTCCTGATATAATTTATTCCGGCAAGCCACTGACTCCAACCTAAAGCAAAATTTTGTTTCCAGTTCGAAGTAAGGCAGCATTTATAAGATCTATTAAGAGTGATGTGAAATTACATTTTCTACCATTGCTTATGCAATGTCATTTGGGTGGTGGTGGTGGTGGAGGGGTCTCCA